GTTCACCAGTTCGCGGTGCGGCCACCTACGAGCTATGCACCTCATGTGAAACAGGAGAAAAAGGGGTAGCCAACAAGTTCGGGGTCAAATGAAATCCCTCCAAAGCGACCAGCCACGACATTCCCTCCCGCCCCCTCACGGGATCTTGAGGTGCTCTACCCTGTCAACATCTCTTCATAGTCTCCTAAATTTCACAGTTCTTGCAAGTGGTGCCGCGTGCGCAGCGTTTGCAAGAGGACCTATTTTATTTAATGTGAAAAAATACGAAATGATTCGACTGGTTACGCAATGCGAGGTTATTTATGCCGTCGCCACAATATGGATCTCCCAGCCCGCGCTCCATAGTCCTATGTTTTATTAGAAGGTTCACAACTGCATGGAGAAAGTTTGTGAAGAAGAAAAACATGTTGATCGATTAATTGAGATCTTTGAAATTCTCTATTATATTTTGTGACGTTAAAGGTAAATCTAAGGGTCCTTCCCTCATATATGCCTCTTATGTGAACAGTAATTTGCTCGACACTACATACTATTTTTACATTTTAATATCTAAAACAATAATCCCATTACGAAGACTTTTCAACAGTTAAAATCGATTTTGCGTTTATTTCTCCGTGGAGTGCTACTGGAACCACTCTAAGTTTTGAAGAACAGGCTTGTGAGTTGGTTTTGGTACGGTATAGGCTCGTGCAAGCAGGGATAGGGTCGGAGCTTTCAGCATGGCGCTGAATGCAGAATTCGTAATATCCGGATGGGAGTGGAAGGAGAGCCATAGGGCATTGCTCATTGGTCTCCCTTCTATAATGGTTTGGAGAAGGGGCGCTCTAGTAACGATTCCCTGCACACTTGAGCATGCTGGACATGCTTATGAGGACAGGTTCCTTGAATGCAGGTCCAACATGAATTTCCAGGGGAGTAGTTGACTCACCTGCCTAGAGAACAGCAGAAGAATTCATCGCATTAGCCTGATATTAATCTTGGTCAATTTTCAACATCGGACAACCATTCAAAGAAATGATAGCTGAGAAGACACCGGGTGCGTAGGCGAGAGGTCAGAGACAAATGATGAGAGTGCAGGAGTCGATCGTGGTGACAGACATCGACGTTCACGGTCTCACTTAGGTAGAACGTGAGGGTGTTCGCCTCTGATGCTTCAACCGTTTCCCATGCTGTGTCGCAGCGACAACGACGGTGAAAGGGCTGAAGTGTCAGCATCGTGCCGCAGCATTCCAAGGACCAGAAACTCACTTTAAACTCATGAGGACATGGAAGGAAGACGAGATCACCGGAGGATGAATGAACAATACTCCGGAACAAAACAAACTCGGGACAACAGTACTCTGGATTGAAACATAGGTTGGCAAAGCGTCACCGGCTCCATTCCCATTAGAGGGCAGTGACAGCAGAGGTGCTCATTATTCTTCTCTTGTCCTCGCTAATGCTGTGACATCGCTTGAGACGTACCGCGTACGCGTCGCATATGAGTTTTTCTTTCTTCCGGAGGTTGGCGAGTGGCAGCTACGGCTAACCAGTGTGGTTCAACCCCTGCGGTTGCTGACTGGTACTACTTTGAGCAAGGGTTCCGTGGGGACAAGAAGATCAGCATTATGACCAGGGGCTGGGTTGAAATAATGGTGCGTTATGGAGTGTAGAAATGATCATGTGCCCATACACCTCTTGACTTTTTGCGTTTCTGCCGTTATATTTGTTTCATTGCATTTAACTTTATCCGGCTGAATTCTATTGAGCAAGACAAAGAATCTCATGAAATTATTCACTTCTATTTATTCAGCTCAATCGCATCGATTGCAGTGCAGATCACAAATTTTTGGTGCTAATTTTTGAATGGATCGGGTCGTGGTGCGATTTTGCGGTGGTAGCTGAGCGTTCCACGCGACGACGCGACTATGTCATCCTCCATGAGACTGCGCCGTGCGCGACTCTCGTCGTCTGCGCCCTACTAGGCCTTGAGCAAGGGAAAGGATGTGTTGCACCGCCGCGTAGTCCTGCTTCCTGCTCCCGTATCCCAGAAATGGAGGAGGCGTGGCTGCGTGCTTTCTTTACTTTGGAAGGGAATGCTTCTTCATGGGATGTTTCGATTTGAGACAATGCTTATCCTATCTCATAGTTGACTGAGACATCACTGCAATTGTCCGGGAGCTTCGATATCTCACCATTAAT